TTCCGTTACAGGGATGATGGTTGACCTCCATATTCCTGCTAGGATGTAGGTATAAGGTCAGTTGCATCAAAGAGGGTGAGGGGCTCCATCTTTACTGAGTACAGGAGACAGAATGAGCAAGACACGGGACAGGAATTCTTAACCACTAAAATGAAGCCCATCTAGTAAGGAGATCACCCAGCAACTGAGTGAAGGAGCTGAGGCTGGAACCTGGTCTCCTGCTCCATTAATGAATTTAGGAATCACTGATTGAGCAGCTATTATGTGTAGAGTTTGGACTAGGTTCTAAGGACCCAGAGATGTGAGACTGTCCCTGTCTCAATGGGCTCACAGGTTACTGGGGAGACTGGACAGGTGAACCACCAATCTCCATGCCCTTTGATAAACACTAGGTCAGCGTAAGCTTCTGTGCTGTGGGAACCGTGAACATCACACTGCCTTCTTCCACAGACGCCCTGCTCAGGGGCTACCTCCACCCTCCCTGAGCCTCTAACTCATCTCTATGATTGTGGGTCTCACAATATATCATGAGGTCTGAATTTCCTATGATTGTGGGTCTCACAATACATCATGAGGACTGTTCGTGAGTCTGAATTCCCAACCAGACCGTGAGCTCTGCAAGGAGAAGGGTGCCTGCCTGGCCAACAAGTACATACGATAGACTGAGAAATGAACTGACGACCTTGAGGTGCTTAGGAAGATGACCTTCACCTTCAGGTGTATGAGTTTAAGGAAATAAGAAGATCAAAAACAAGGAGAGGACCGAGCATATTATTTCCAGTGAAACTACACACCGGGTATGACAGTGGACCCCTATGCAAAACTCACCGTTTCCACCTCATCTTTTCTATCTGTAAAAGGGGATAATCACTCAAGTCAGCCCCTCTGGGTCATGATTAGAGAAAGACCATTTAGGAAAGCAGTACATCTTTAGAAAACGTCATGCACTATTGAGAAGCTGAGTAGCAGAATATGTGAGAGGGCTGCGCCCAAGGGACGGGCAGGCAGTGCAGGGAGACTCACACGGGATGCTTGTTGTACATGATCGGCAGGAACTCATCTACTGGCAGCATCTTCCCAAAAGGATCAGCTCCGACGAGCTTCTGGGCTCCTTCCAGAGAGATGACATAGCCCAGCGTCCAATAGGAGTAGTCAGCTTCGACCAGATTTCCCACGTTGGGCACTGCTTTCTCTGGCTCTTTCACCTGCATCCTCTTTCTACCAATATAACTAAAAGGAAGTAGAAAGAGGAGAAAATCCCAGTTTGAATATTAGACATCCGTAAGAACGGGGCACAGGTTTACAGATACTTTTGAAAGCTTGGACCAGCTGTGTCTTATATTAAATGGATCATGCCACAAAGTGCATCCCATCACCAACCGTGACTGTCACCTGCCATGAATGAGGCCGTTTTCCTGGCTCTGTTTATCAACATTCCAACTGCTCTTGTCTAGCGCTGTGTTCCAGCCTGGCTGGAGCTGTGGAGAGACTACAAGATCTCACAGATCACTTCCCAAAGAGGGTTTGGGACTTCCAGCTGTGTTTACAGAGGTTGGAAATGGACAAAAAAGGCCAGATGTGGGAATCCTGAGTTTTTTGTTTTCAAGTCCCCAGAGTTTCAGCCTTCGATATTTTTCGGACAGCTCTCCAGATGCTAGCGGTAAACACAGGACAGAAGAGGCTGTGGGAAAGAAACAGTCTACAGTAAAAGACCTGGGAACCAGAGTGGCCCCGAATGGGTCCTTCCCGGGGAGAACGAATAAGAAAGCCTGCCTGGCTTCCTCTTCACACACACCTAGCTCTGCCCTCACTTTGTTCTGAGAAAAGCATCCAGGCAGGTCCTGTCCTCTTCAAACAACTTCTGCAACACAAGATACACCCTTAGCCATTCCGACTTTCCCGTCATCTACTCACAGATCTGTGATCCGTGACTTTTGTCTGGAATCTGTTTGTTTTCCACTTGGCTGGGGCAAGTTCAGGAGGTGCCTGCTTCCTGCCTTGAGGTAAAGCCGACTTCCTCTATTTTGCCTTTAACCCATCTCTTTCATCGTGTAAAGGATTCCTCTTATCCAAACATCCAGGGGTTTGTAGAGGGAGCCTATGTCCACCTCAGTTCTTCTCAGGACATCAAACACCATATCTTTTCAGCCACTGTCCCCTCAGACTAAAGAGTCTAAATTTCTCTCATGTACCATCAAATGGAAGAGAAAGTCCCTCTGAGCACTTGAGATGTGACCCGAGGGACAGTCTCTACTCAACTGATTCATTTTACGTAGTTTAAGTTGAGATTTTAAAATAAAATTGAAGATGTGTAAAATATTTTTTCCCTTTAACAAAATCGTTTCAGGACAAGAAGGTGTTTATTGTAGCAGTTGAAAACTTAGCATCTAGATTCAGATGTTTTGTAAGCATAAAATACACCCTGGATAGGGGCGCCTGGGTGGCGCAGTCGGTTAAGCGTCCGACTTCAGCCAGGTCACGATCTCGCGGTCCGTGAGTTCGAGCCCCGCGTCGGGCTCTGGGCTGATGGCTCGGAGCCTGGAGCCTGTTTCCGATTCTGTGTCTCCCTCTCTCTCTGCCCCTCCCCCGTTCATGCTCTGTCTCTCTCTGTCCCAAAAATAAATAAACGTTGAAAAAAAAATTAAAAAAAAAAAATACACCCTGGATATTAAAGATGGTAGAAAGAACAATGTAGACTATCTCATTAATAGTTTAAATACCGATTACATATTACAGTAATAATATTTAGAGATGTTGGGTTAAATAAAATGTATTACTAATTTCACTTAATGTCTTTTTACCATTTGAATGGGATCACTAGGAAATTTTAAATCATGTATGTGGCTCAGGTTATATTACTGTTGGACAGCACTGCCTAGATCATTCCAATGGGTTAGTTTACTCTTCCCATTTCCTATTTCCTTTTTCTGGAGAAATGTCACATAGCAGCCGTGGACAGCTTATCAGATTTCATGTTTTGAGTTTCAGTAAAGTTTGTACCTGACATATTCATTTTAGAAAGAGATAGGTAAAAATATTGAAACCACCGCCATTTTTAATAGCATATAACTGATATAAATGGAATATTTTGACTTGATCAGTCTGTGAAATTTAGAAAAGGTTTTTGTTTCTGTATCCCTATCATTTCCCGTATCCATATCCTTAGCCAACCACTCCGCTTTCTTGGATCTGTTGGTACTTGGTCCCAAGAAATATACCAGCTAAACTACAAGCGGACAAGGACATGTGCCCGTCATGAGCCTTGGACTCCCCAGGTTGAGTCCTCTGATTCTGAGGCTTAAGTGAAAGTCGCCTTTGTGCAGGTCATGTGAGTATAAAATGGCTTCCAGGCTCCATGCCTATGAGGCGTAGTCACAGGCTGCAGAGCTATAGACTCCGAAAGGCTGAGGCGTGAGGACTTCTGGAGGATTACAGGAACAAACAAGGATCCTAAGGGACAGTACGGAATCTAATCACACGGCTGACATCTGACAGGGAGCCAGTCTCTTTTTATTACCCAGTACTGATTTCTGGGTCTATTCCCCCATGGGTTAGTTCAGCCATCACTAGGTTTCTTTTGGGCTCAGAATGGTATGTTTTCTGAGAGGACAAGTATTCCAGCTGGGCCCATAGTTAAGTTTCCCTCTGAGGATGGGAGGAGTAAGGACAGCTTGCCTGGTGCCACTCCAAATGAACAGGCTTTGATTTGATGAAATTGCCTTTGACACACAGCTGGGAAGCCAACGTAATGCTTGGGAACGTTCTGCCTCGTTAGAGAGAAGTAAAAAGTATCATCTGGTTTAAAAAGAAAATGAAGGGAGGGGCGCCTGGGTGGCGCAGTCGGTTAAGCGTCCGACTTCAGCCAGGTCACGATCTCGCGGTCCGTGGGTTCGAGCCCCGCGTCGGGCTCTGGGCTGATGGCTCGGAGCCTGGAGCCTGTTTCCGATTCTGTGTCTCCCTCTCTCTCTGCCCCTCCCCCGTTCATGCTCTGTCTCTCTCTGTCCCACAAATAAATAAACGTTGAAAAAAAAAATTAAAAAAAAAAAAAAGAAAAAAAGAAAATGAAGGGAGAGGGAGAGACACAGAGAGAAGGGGGAGAGAGAGGGAGACAGGGAAATAGAGGAGAGAGAGAGAGAGAGAAAGAGAGACAATTCCCAGAGGCAGCTACCAAAGCATTGACTACATGTCAACTCAGAACCAGCATTACCCTGGTAAGCTGGTTTTCCTATGGCAGCCTCTGACCCTCCATCAAACCCAGCTCAGTGCTCTTACTGTCTGCACTGCACACTGCCCTTCCCAAGAGAGGCACACTTAGGCTGACCTGCAGCCCCCATACTGTCAGAGGCTACAGAGGAAACCTGCTCTCAAGTGTGACACAGGACTCCTGCCCTTGAATGAATGCCTCGTCCTCTCTTTTCACACGTCTCCGTGCATCTGTTGCCTCACTGGTGGGATTTCTGCCGTGCTCCCATGTGAGCACTCAATCTGAAGACCCCTGACCTGCAGGCAGTCTCCAGGTCTCGCAAACCGTCTTCCATAGTTTCTTTCTCAGCCTGTAGAGTATATAGATGCAGAAACCAGGGTCTGTTCTCCACTTCTTGTTTCTGGGAACATTTATGGAGAGAAAACCAGGAAAGTGGAAAGCTGTGCTGTATCTCCTATCAACTGGGGAGGTGGGGCCCGCCGCCCCCCTGGAAAGGACTGTGTCCTCTCAGTGCTCTAGGATAAGCTTGTCTTGTCACTCACATCAGTTCCCAGTCCAGCTGAGCCTGGTCGATGTCATCCATCAGCTTCATCAGCTTCTTCTTAAACTGATGTTCAAAGCGCACGTCATCCTCAATAACAAGAGTCTTTTCCAGCTCGCGGTCAATTACCTGTAAAGGCCATCAGTGGGAAGATACCCTATGAGAAGTCCAATATCTATTTTTTATTAGGTAAATACATATTAAAAAGTCAAGAATATAGTAGCATAGTAGGTAATAGCTCATAACTGGAATCTAAGCAAATGCCATCCGATAGCTGAATGGTTACATAAACGGGGCGTTTACTTACAACAATGAGAATGTATGATATACAATTAAACGCAATGTTACAGATGAATCTCACAAATGAAAGGATACTGCAAGGATATACCTCAATACCCTATGTAGTTCCATGCATATAAACAAAACTACAAAAGCAGACAAAACTATTCTATGCTATTAGAAGTCAAATGGTGATTATCCCTGGGGACTGTTCCCTTGAAGGAAATACAGAGAGGGTGCTTCTGGGGAGCTGGCAACCTGTTTCTTGATCTGGGTACCAGTTAGCATGGCTGTATTGTTGTTCGGTTTGTGAAATTTCATTGGCCTGTATTTTACGCTCTATATAATTTTATACATATCTATTACATTTCACTTAAATTTTAAAGGAAAAAAAAGATAGCATAGACTGGGTTATTCAAAGAGAGAAGGCATTCAGAGGCCCTTCCTTTAGGGACTTTCTCTTTTCTTGTGGGAGCTGACCCTTAATCAAGACCCCACACACCAATCCTTCCCTCCATCAATGTCTGTTCTCTAAGCCATGGTTTCAAGTCCTGGCTTTGCCACTTCTTGTGAAGATATTTAATATCTTTAAGTATTTAGTTATTTTCTCTTGGGTAAAATGGGTCCAGGCCTCTTGATCCACTTCATATGATTTCTGTGTGACTCCTCGTATGAGATCATCTAATAAACAATGGCATGCTGGATACGTACAATACCAGGCATTCCTACTAAGGATAAGGGTCCATCAATAGAAGCGTAGCCTCCTGAAAAATGGCATCTTCCCCTGTCATCATCCCAGTGGCAATAAGGCGACCCTTGCCTGTTTGTTGCTGGCCTATGTCAGAGAGAGGCAGAAGGCAACAGAAACCTCCAAGCATACTTCTAGAAGAGTTACGGGTCCACTTCATATCTGGCCCAAACTCACCTACAAAGTCCCACTCTCCTTCCTCCTCATTACAAAAATGCATATCTAAATAAAGCATCATTGTGGCACCTGGGTGGCTCAGTCAGTTGAGCATCTGACTCTTGATTTCAGCTCAGGTCCTGATCCCAGGTTCGTGGGACTGAGCTCTGCATTGAGCTCCACGCTAAGCACGGAGCCTGCTTAAGACTTACTTTCTCTCTCTCTCTCTCTCTCTCTCTCTCTCTCTCTCTCCCCTGCTCATGCTTTCTCATAAATAAATAAAGCAAGCAAGCAAGCAAGCAAGCATTATTTACCTCTTTCCAGACAGAGTAGTGGCTAAGAAAGCAGCCAATTTCACCCCTGGTTAGAGGCCTGGAAGAATAGGGATCTCGATATCCAGGCAGCATTTCAATATTCAGGGCCTTCAACTGGCTTGTGTTAAGTGCCCTGCATGAGAGAGACAATGTCTGAAAATCAACAAGTTGAGATGTCCCCACCACAAAAGGCAGAAAGAGAGCGTTCCGGATGTTCCCCAGAGCCTTTCTGCACATTGAGGAAGACTTCTCAGGTTTCCCATCAATCCCCAGGAGCTCATCAGGGTTAATGTGTCATGGCAGCATTACAAGCTTTTGGGAAGACAAGAGGGTATGTTATGCATAGTGTATCCTTCACAATTGCCAATGTACTTCTAAGTATCACCAGGTTTTTGACAGCTTTGAGAAAGTATTTTCCTAAGAAGGAAGGTGGCTAATGGCATTAAATACTAAAGGGGATGAAGACAGGAAGGAACTATGTACAGTATCTTTCCTTTGGACGTATTTTTTTTTTCAAAAAAGGTTAAGAACAAAAATAGTGGAGACAATCTTGTGAGCAGGAAGAGAGAAGTGACTCACTACATATATAGTATTCTCAATAAGATTAACAGCTGATTCTCAGAAACCATGGAGCCCACAAGGCAGTAGGTTGACCTATTGAAAGTGCTACCTGAAAAAGCCAAAAATTCTGTATCTATTCAAACTGTCCTTCAAAAATGAAGGATAAATTAAATATTTCCAGAGTAACAAAAACTGAGGGTTCATCACTAGCAGATCTCTACCAGAAATGCCAAAGAAGTTCTCATGCCAACATGAAAGGAAATTAGAGTGATAAGGATCCATATAAAGAAATAATGAGCATGGGGATATGTAACTGCATAGGTAAATATAAATGACAGCATAAGTGTTTTTCATTTATAACTCTTTCTTCTCTTACCTGATTTAAATCAAAGCTGCATATAAGTCTGTGTTAACGGGCGTATAATGTAGAAAGAAGTAATTTGTTTGGCAACAATAAAACAAAGGAGGGGGAAAAGAATGAAGCAATATAAGAAGCTAAGTTTTTGTATGCCACTGAAATTAAGTTGCTTTTTTTATCGAAATATAATTGACATATAACATAGGTTTCCAGCATATACCATAATGACTTGGTATTTGTATATATTATGAAATGATCAACACAATGTCTAGTTAGCATTCATCACCTCACATAGTTACAACTTTTTTATCTTGTGATCACGAGAACTTTGTAGATCTACTCTCTTAGCAGCTGTCAAATATGCAATACAATATTGTTGTATTGTTAACTATACTCATCATGGTGTACATCTCCATGACTTGTTTATTTTATGACTTAAGCTTTGTACCTTTCCACCCCTTTTACCCATTTCATCCACCTTCCAATACTGCCTCTGGGAATCACCAATCTGTCCTCTATATGTATGAATTTGGTTTTTTTTTTTTCCTCTTTAGATCCTACATATAAATGAGACCATATGTATGGTATTTGTCTTTTCCTGTCTGACTTATTCTACTTAGCATAATGCCTTGAAAATCCATCTATGTTGTTAAAAATGACAGCTTCCTTTTCAAATGGATGAATAAAATTTAATTGTATATATTTATATGTGCCACATCCATTCATTCACCTGTTGGACTCTTAGGTTGGCTCTTGTAAATGATGCTGCAATGAACATGGGGTGCATATTTTTGAGTTCATCTTTTCATTTTCTTTGGATAAATACTCAAAAGTAGAATTGCTGGATTATATGGTAGCTCTATTTTTAATTTTTTTTCAATATATGAAGTTTATTGTCAAATTGGTTTCCATACAATACCCAGTGCTCATCCCAAAAGGTGCCCTCCTCAATACCCATCACCCACCCTCTCCTCCCTCCCACCCCCCTCTATTTTTAATTTTTTGAGGAACCTCCATACTGTTTTCCACAGTGGCTGCACCAATTTACATTCCTACCAGCAGTCCATCTGTGTTCCCTTTTCTCTACATCCTTGCCAACACTTGTTATTTCTTGTCTTTTTGATAATAGCCATTCTAATACGGGTGAGGTGATATCTCATTGAGGTTTTAATTTGCATTCCCCTGATAATTAGCGATGCTGAGTACCTTTTAATGTACCTGTTCACCATCTACATCTTCTTTGGAAAAATATCTACTTAGATCTCTGCCCATTCTTTAATCAAGCTGTTTGGTTGTTGCTGTTGTTGTTGTTGTTGTTGCTATTGCTATTGAGTTGAATGAGTTCTTTATATATTGTAGAAATTAACTCCTTATCAGATATAGAATTTTTAATATATTGATGAATATTTTCAAATATTTCATAAGTTGATGATTTTTCAAATATTTTCTCCCATTAGGTGGGTTGTTTTTTCATTTCATTGATAGTTTCTTTTGCCGTGTTGTCCCACTTGTTTGTTTTTGCTTTTGGCATCAAAACCCAAAAAAAGCATTGGCATGACTGATGTCTAGGAGCATATTCCCTATGTTCTCTTCTAGGAGGTTGGTATTAATATAAACTAGATTACTATAAATCAAAATGTTAATTGCAATCTCCACGGCAATCACTGAGAAAATAACTTTAAAAAATGTACTAAAAGAAACAACAAAGGAATTAAAATGGTAGAGTAGAAGGTATATTTTTAATACAAAAAATAATAATAATAATGAAAATAATAATGAAAAGCAGAAGGATAAAAAGATGTGAAACATATAGAAAACAAATGGAAAATGGCAGATATAAATCCTACTTTATCAGTAATTACATTAAATATGAATGGATCAAACCCCACAATCAAAGGCAGAGCTTAGCAGAATGAGTTTTTAGGAACATGATTCAACTATGCTGTCTACAAGAGATAGGCTAGATTCAAAGGTATGAATAGGTTCAAAGTGAAAGGATGAAAAAAGATATACTATGTAACCAGTAACCACAAGAGAGCTGCAGGAGCTATATTAATACCTGACAAAATAAACTTTTAAACAAAAGCAATTATTAGAGATAAGGAAGAACATTTTATAATAAAAGAAAAAGAATTGGGGCACCTGAGTGGCTTGGTCAATTAAGTGTCTGACTCTTGATTTTGGCTCAGGTCATGATCTCATGGTCATAAGACTGAGCCTCACGTTGGGCTCTGTGCTAGGTGTGAAGTCTGCTTGATATTCTCTCTCCCTCTCCCTCTGCCCCCACTCCTGCTCATTCTTGTTCTCTCTCTCTCTCTCTCTTTCAAAAAAAATCAATCCATCAGAAAGACAGAAATTACAAATATATATGCACCTTACAATAGAGCAAAAACATAAAGCAAAAACTGAGAAGTTGAAGAAAGAGACTATTCAACCATAATACAGGGAGACTTCAATCACCCACTATCAATAATGAATAGAACAACTAGGCAGGAGAACAACAAATAAAGACAAGACTTGAAAAATACTACAAACCAGCTAGATCTGACAGATATCTATAGAACATTCCACCTGACAGTAGCAAAATACACCTTCTTCTCAAGTGCACATGCAACATTCTCTAAGAAAAACCATGAAAAACATACAGATCATGAATTAAGCCTCAATACACTTCAAAGGATGTACTCCAACCACAATGGAATGAATTTAAAAGTCAATAACAAAAGGAAGCTTGGAAAATTCACAGATATGTGAAATTAAACAACACATTGCTAAATAGCTAATGGGTCAAAGAAGAAATCACAAAGGAAATGAAAAAATGTTTTGAGATAAATGAAAATGAAAACATAGCATATCAAAACTTACATGATGGGCTTGGTGTAGTATTTGGAGGGCTAGTTAAAGCTATAAATGCCTACATTAAAAAAGAATACCTCCAATGAATAATCTGATCTAAATAATCCATTTAGAGAAATTAGAAAAAGAATGGCAAACTAAACCCAAAGCAAGCAGAAGGAAAAAATATAGACTACAGTGGAAATAAGTGGATGGAGAATAGAAAAACAAAAGAGAAAATCAACAAAACCAAAAGTTCTTTGAAAAGATCAACAAAATTGATAGCCTTTAGCTAAGCTGATCAAGAAAAAAAAAAGGTAGACTCAAATTATTAAAATGAGGAATGAAAAGTGGGCAACCCCCTACTGACCTTATCAAAATAAAAGGATTATAAGATAATACTATGAACAACTGTATGCCAACAACTTAGATAACCTAGATAAAATTGACAAATTGCTAGACAGTTACAAACCACTGACTCAAAAAGGAATGGACATTCTGAATATACCTAAAACAAGTAAAGCAGCTGAGTTAGTAATAAAATTTTCCAGAAAGAAAGACACACAATCAGCTAGTTTCTTTGGGGAATTCTAAAGAATTTAACACCAATCTTTCACAAAATTTCCAAAAAGTTTCAAAACTCTTCCAAAGAAGAGGTGGGAACAATGAAGCCAGTATTATCCTGATACTGATACCAAAACCAGAAAAAGACATCATAGGAAAACTATAGGCCAATATTCCTTATAAATAGAGATTCAAGATTCTCAAGAAAATACTAGCAAACAGAATCCAGCAATGTATAAAAAGCATTGTACACCATGGCCAAGTAGGATTTATTCCAGGATTGTGAGGTTGGTTTAACATATGAAAATCAATCAATATAATGCACCTTATCAATAGACAAAAATGATCACATGACTACATGATCATCTCAATAGACACAGAAAAAGCATCGACAAAACCCAACTGTATATGGATTGAAAAATGGATTGACACATACATCAGCGGAATTAAATTGAGAGTCTAGAAATGAAGTCTTACATTGATGGCCAATTGATTTTGACAAGGGTGATAAGACAATTCAAAGGAGGCAAGAATAATCTTTTTAACAAATGGTGCAGGGGTGCCCAAACAATGTGCAAAAGAAGGAATCTGAATCTCTACCTCACACCATATAAAAAACTAACTCAAAATGGAGCAAAAATGGAATATGTAGGAGACATAACAGATAAAACTGTAAAACTTTTATAAGAAAAGATAGAAATAAGTCTTTGTGACTTTCGATTTGGCAGTGGATTCTTAGATATGACACCAAAAGCATAAGCAACAACAAAAATATTTATTGGGCTTCATCAAAATTAAAAACTTTTGGGTTGCAATGGACACCATTATGAACTGAAAAGATAACACACAGAATGGTAGAAAATATTTGCAAATTATATTTGCAAGACAAGAGATTTGCAAGACAAGATAGCTGACAAGAGATTTGTATGCCGAATACATAAAGAACTCTCACAACTCAACTAGTTAGTTTCCCCTGGTCCTTGTGGCCTATAAATAAAACCTGGGCTCTTAGGTTCTTGAAGCAGTGGTTCCCAAACTCTAGTGCACCAAAGAACAGGGTTGCAAGATTTAGCATGTAAAACATACAATATCCAGTCAAATTTAAATTTCATATAAACAACGAATAATTTCTTAGTGTAAGTAAGCCCAAGCAATATTTGTGACAAATTTAACTGAGTATCCTATATTTTATGTGGCAAACTTACTCAAGAATCACCTTGAGGCTTCTTAGATTCCTAGCCCCAGTCCTGAGATCATGATTAAGCAACCCTGAGATGGGACTCGGGAAGCTCTTCTCTTAACCATCCCCTAAGGATTCTGACACGGGTATCCAGGCCACATTTTGAGAAACATTGATGAAATTCTCCAGAAGTGATAAGAAACTTCACAATAGCTTCTATCCATACTCCTTAGAGCCATTCATATGCCAAATTAACATACAACATGGAATGTAAATTTTGCAAAAATCTATACCTTGAACTAAAGTGCCAAATAAAAGGACAAAGGAAAGCAAAATAAAACAAAATAATAAACAAAAGCAATAACAAAACTCTTGAAGGAATTCAACCAAGTTCCCATTGTGACTTTCCTGCCATACTCCTGGGAAATGTGATCAGCCCAGGCATGGTTTGGCAAGCATCTCAAGCAACAGGATATACAGATCGTTATGCATTTGTCCTCATTATTTTCTTTCGTTATGCATTATTCCTCATATTTTCTTCATGTCACCCAAGTTTGGACACTTTGCTCTAACCACATTTGCAAGGGTTCAACAAAAAACCCAACCCACTTTCCATCCACAGCCTCGACAATCTTGACCTCAATTTCCTGCTCATACAGGGTGCGTAACATCCGGTCCCGTCTGTCCTTTCTGCGCTTGAGGTTGATCATGAAAATCTAATGCAGGAAGAGAAGAAGGAAAAGAAACACAAGTCTTATCTTAGGCTGTATGGAAAGTTAAGTAAATGTAAGGACCAAAGTTTCAGTTAGAATAAGGAGTGGAGAAAATAGGGAAAACTGTGATGAAGGTTTGTTTATATTTCATATCAAGTCAAATGATATCATCCAAACAGAGTTACGTTCAAAACTTAGCCATGTGCAGTGACTTCACCCTCTCTTTGTTTCTTTTGTTGGTGGACATGTTTGCCCTGCTTTTGAGAAAAGAAAGTTCAAAACGTTGCTCTTCTGGAGGCCAAAGGTGAATTAAACCCAAAACATATAAGACTCGGAGGTAGGAGGTAGGTAGTTTGGCAAGTGTGTTAGATTTTTCAGCAGACGTTAAGTCTATTCCCTGACGATCATTTACTAAATGTTTGCTTTGGCCTGGTCCCTATGTCTCAGTTTCCTCATCTGTAAAACTGGGGTGATACTGCTCTTATCTCATGGGCATTAAATAATCGCTATTCTTTGAGTTTATACCCACTGTAATACATTTCAAGTCATTCAAAGAATGAGGAAAACTAATCTTAACACGTCCCTTTTATTTCCAATTATCAAGGTCTCAATTTTAGTAGCTTCTTTGCCAGAATTTTTCAGAATTGAATTGAGAATTGCCAAAACTCCCCTAGAGACATGAGAGTTTTTCTGAAAGAAGTAAAGAGAAGGGGCCCTACTCTTGGGGGTAGTAGCCCTTTGAGGAATGGAGAAATGTAAAGACATCATCGCCACATCATACTAGTCCATGAAATCCCCCAAAATATGCACTCAGATTTCTTTCCATGAGGGCTGGGTCCACCTGTAGCCTCTCACGTGAGTCCCTAAATTCCTGGTGGCTGTCCTAAACACATGCATATCATGAAGCCACTGCAGAGCGTTATGGGTAGTGAAACTGTCCTGACTATTCCCAGATTTAAGGAGCCACAGAAGTACCTAAAGACTCACGAATGCTATTACATATTACGTGATTCGTAAATATGAGTTTTCATAATGTCCTTTTGCTACAAGCAGTAATAAACTTACTTTGAACATTAAACTAGTCCTCTGAGAGTGGGAGATTTCAGCTGTCTGTAAGAAATACTGATGAGGGGCGCCTAGGTGGCTCAGTCGGTTGAGCGTCCAACTTCAGCTCAGGTCATGGTCTCATGGTTCATGAGCTTGAGCCCCATATCGGGCTCTGCACTGGCAGCTCAGAGCCTGGAGCCTGCTTTGGATTCTGTGTGTGTGTGTCTCTCTCGCTCTGTCCCTCTCCTGCTCATGCTCTGTCTCTTTCTCTCAAAAATGAAAAAACGTTAAAAAAAAAAAAAAAAAAGAAATACTGATGAGGAGAAACCTGAAGGAATAAATGGGATGACTTTGGCTTCAGCCTGACTAGACCACCCAAATGGCTCTGAGGAAGACATTTAATGCTTCCGGGTCCAGTTCCCTTGTTTGTAAGAAGAGGGAGTTGAACAACCTCATCTCTCAAGTACAACACCGATTAAAATGTCTATGATACGTGGTTTAGGTAAAGCTCGCTTTATGCTGTGTCCAGAATAAAGAAGAGACTATGTCTTGTAACCAGCTGGGGTTCAGACTTTACTGGGGGCAAAGCTGTGGTTCACATAGCCTTTTAATGTAATCATCAACATGTTCTATGTTTTACTGGATCAAAAGCTACACTAACTAAACGTTCAACCTCTCCTTACAAAACATTCTCACTTCCATCCCTTTATAAAGCACTGGGCAAAGAAACTGATGGGAAAACAAGATGTCCCCTTTGAAGAAATTATCCGCCTGAGTTAAGGCAAAGTGAATTGGGTGCATCGTGATTTCATTACTTCTCTTATCTACATAATTGGGTAATTATTTTTTTTAAACATCATTTCTGTGGTGACTCTAACTTGCCTTGTTACTTGGGACTTTATAACTTAATAGATTGTGTTCTTTCACATTTCGTGTTCTTCCTGTTTAGAGGCACACCTTGACGGGCCACGTTTCATCCCATGATTTTAAAAGATACGGAAAGGAAGGGGTATTTCCTCATGTGTACACACGGAGCTACCTGAGGCCACTCCGGCAGAACAAAAATAAGCCCAAACAAAACAAAAACCGAACAGATATGCAACAAAAAGTTGCCTCGAACCAGAGACCTCTAGTCTGGGAAGACTTTAGTAAATAATAATTCAGTCCCAGTTTTCTGCCAGGACAAGTGCAATAAAAATTGTAGCCATGAAGAAAAAACACAGACGGCTTGCTCATACTTCGTGAACAGCAAACAGAGAGAGAGCTACATAGCCAAACGCAGCCCACACACCACCGCAAGGGCAGGGAGTACTGGGAGAAAGAAAAAGTCCCTGAAAATCCCCTTTTCTACCATCTTATCTCTGTTCCAGAGCCCAAGGTAATCACTTCCTATATCTATATCCCTTCCTAGAATTGGCATTTTCCAGAAGGCTTCCAGGGGTAACCCAGTCCTTATACGCACATCCAAATGGGAAGACCAGAGCTAGAAGATCCTGGTTTTGTCCCATTTGATCTCTTTTGCTTCAGTCCGCATAGGAATGTGTTGAAAATGAATATATACAAAGACACTCGGGTTCTCTCACCTAGAGAACCGAGGGCTGATGAGAGTTATAGGAAAGGACGCCTCTAGTAAGATGTAGAAGCTGGTACAGTGTGTGATGTGGATCAACTTTCCTGCAGCCTGATTGTTTTAAAGAATTCTTTGTACTTCATTCTGATTCCTCTCTACCACATTAAAGTCATCTCTTCCCATGCTGCCCTCGGTGAAAACAGCATCACAGCCGCTAAGTCTTTTCCACTTAATATTCATGAAATACTCCCTCCCGTTCCTGAAGTCCAGATCCCCATCGGTTTTACAGAAGAAATACCAATTCCCATCCCAGCAGCTTGTAGACGGCTGTACTTTGGGGACATGTACTACACAGTGCAGGATGATGAACAAGGCTTTTTCTTGCCATGGAGCTGTGGCAGTGAGCACAGAGCACAAAGCTTGGCCTACAACACATCCAGAATCCATGGAAAAATTCCATCTCAGTTTGTGGATTCCTGAGGCACTGCCCTAATCTCTAGATCATCAAGCTCTCGAATACTGATCAGCAGCTACGTGACATAAGGGACCCACAAAGGATCAATGACTTGGAGGCACACTTCCGGCATTCCCAAGTAGCTGTTGTGTGCGTTACCGAGAGAGGCATCACTTTATATTCTTGCTTCCTTCTTCATGCAATCAAAACTTCATAATAGGGGCACCTGGGTGGCTCAGTCGGTTTAACTTCCAACTCTTGAATTTGGTTCAGGTCATGATCTTGTGGTTCATGGGATCGAACCCAGCATGGGATTCTCTCTCACTCTCTCACTCTCTCTCTGCTCCTCCCCCACTCATTTTCTCTCTCTCAAAAATAAATCAATTAATTAAAAAACAAACAAGCAAAAACTTTATATTAAATATGGCCCTTGGAGTGCTATTATGAAGTGCTTGCCCACGGAAAGGCAGAATTTTACTATAGATTTCTTTTTTCTTTTTATTTTCCTCTCAACCCTACCCTCAATCTTTGTCCATGGAAGAAGAGCACAGAGAAAATAAAGCACAGACTATTCCAGAATGGTTTCCATCCACTCAGAATAAAGTTAAGGTCCTCCAATACCTAAAACATATACCCTCTTACCTGACCCTTGAATCTTGATTGAAAGGTTTACAAAATATAGCAATATCTGCTCCTAGAAAATATATAATTGCACTCAGGACTAAACAGTAACGTCTTTCTAACTCAATGACTAATTCACTTTACCATGATGCTCCTTTAAAAAACTTTTTTTTTTTAATTTGGATATAGTTGATACACAATATTACCTTAGTTCCAGGTGTGTACGATGCTCAGTTTTTAAGATAAGAAAGCTGAGCTGCAACAAAAATGGAGTCATTTTCCCAAGACCTCAATGCCTTTTCAGCAGCCAGGTCAGTCTTGCTGGCTCTCAAATGTGTCATCAGGCTTGTGCTCTAATACAAACGTGTAAGCACGCCACATACATGCACACGTGTGCACGTGCACACACAGACACCTTTCCTACCTCATCAAATCCCATCTTGTCTGGATATTTAGGGACAACGGAAACAAACTGGGAGGGTTCCATTGGAGGACGGTCAACTGGAAGACACAAGAAGCACACAGAGCACTCTGTTAGCAAAAGGCTCAGAGAACCGAATTCCATCCACACATCTGATGTCTAGGAACACCACCTGGATGTCCGGGACAGGGGGTAACCACTCAGCAGTTCTCCAGGACTGAGTGGCTACACAGGAACCCTAATGGTCAGGGTTTCAAGAACACTTATTTATATGCAGACTGGAATATTCGCCCCATTTCCCTTAAGGGTAAAGATTTAGGGTGAAGGCTCTGGAGTCAGATGACCTGAATCCAAACCTTGGTCTGTGAAGGTCTGGAAGAGTTAGTTAAGTGTCCTCTCCAAACCTGTTTCTTCACGTGTTAAATCAAGATAATAAAAGTGTATCTCTTAGGGTGTAGTAAAATTTAAATGAGATCTGTATGCAAAGCACTCATCCCAGTAAATTAGCATAGTAAAAACTCAGTAACTTTCAAGCTATTACTTTACTGTGGCTTATAACGAAAGACCTCAGAACTGGGCCAGACTTCTTCTAAATAATGCCTTCTCTGTCTATTTTAAAGGGCCAAAGTCTGGGGCTATTTTTATCCCATCCAGGCAGGTTTAGCTACAGGTATGCAAAAGGTCCTTTATTTTAACACAAACTCGCCTCTGGGGGCCAAACCACATCCCCACACTTGGTACAGCGCTCACAGGTAAATTTCCAGATGGGAGGGGCACTGCATCTTAAGTAGTAAAACATTTATTTATTTGATACTCCAAAAAAGTTCTCTTTGCGAACTACACATTTGAAAGGTCGGAAGCAACGCTGAGTGAGGAACCTGAAAAGGTCTTGAAGAATTTTAGAATTGTAAATTCAAAGTACTCATTTCGTTTTCCTTAAAGGGATAATAAAAAGAAAACCAAGTCAGAGCTGGTAACGGAGAGGTTGGAGTAACTGTTGGCGGTGGCCTTCACTACTCAGCAGTACCTATCTCCTCCATTCCGGGCCTAGGAGAGGAATCACTTCCTCACCCTTGAAATTGGTCATGGCCTCGTGAACTGCTGCTTCTCAGCTCTGCAAGCCCTTCCCCCCGCATGCCCCCCCCCACCCCAGCCCCACCACAATGGCCAGAGTAGCAGATGTTTGATAAAGGAGAAATCCCACATTTGAAGTAGCCTAGAATGATGTGCTAACATATGCAGGACAGCTGCCCAGAAGGGCACCAGGACCACTGTAGACCTTGCATAAGAAGAAGTAAGCCACTGCTCTATGCAGCCAGTGGAATTTTGTCACTGTTTGATATCCTAGCATAACCTCTTCACCCTTTTGACTGAGACACTGTCCATAGAGTATTGTTTGTTTAACTCATGCTTCCCTGGGACATTAAAGAGAAACCAGGGCATCCAGTGTCACCTGTGATCAAATGACATGAAGTTCTAGAAGGTGGTGAGACAGGTTTCCTAAACCAAACCCAACAGTTGTTGGTCTCATGACTTCAACCCTGACCCCTATGGTCACATTTCCTTGAGTACACAGTGCATGTGTTTCTGTTTCCCCCGGGAGCCTAGAATATTTTGTTCCTTTCTGCTTTACCCCGCTCCTCATTAATTATTTTTAAATCTACAAATATTGATCAAGGGGGCACCATGTACAGAGTTAGGCTTTTAAGAGAAAGAAACTTCACATACAAACTCCTTTTTGTTCACAATGTTGTTTGAGGAGCTGTCTGGCTCTCCCTCCTTGGGACTGGGAGTTGGGAGGGGGTTATATTTTGAGTTACCCTTTTCATGCTGTTGGTCTCTGTCTGGCACTCACATGGCTAGGTGGCTTTAACGTTTCAGCCAAAGAGACTGCCATTTTGCTTCCATCAAACATGGGTAGTCACTGCATTCACAGGACAAGTGTCCCCCCAAAGCCACAAGTGGCTAGCTCCTAGAAGCCACCATTGAGCAAAAATATGAGAACTATGCCTGGGTTTTGTCACTGAAGACAGAGCTAAGCCACTGGGAAAGACGGAATGATGCAAGTAAGACATATAAAACTTACTATGCCAGGAGAAGGGATGTGTCTTTGTTTCATCAGAGTCGAAGGTAACCTGTACACCAGCTTTGGTTTGGGGTCGTTTCTGACGCCATCATTCCCAATTTATCAGTCCCTCACTGAATCCCTCCCTAGACACAGTCCCCCACTGTACCACCAATTGGGAAAATATGCTTCTTTGGCTCCTAGATAGTTTCAAGATCTAGGAATAAGCATCATAGCTATTATTGTAGAGATCCTATTACTCACTGAACTCTGGGTTACACCCTCCACACATGTAATCCCAGTTATTTTAATCTTCACAACAGGTACTATGGGATAAGTATGAGTGTCCCTATTTTTACCGATAAAGAAACAAAGGCTTAAATATAACTTGCCCAGGGTCACAGAGCTGATAGAACTGGTAGGTGAACCAAAGTCTGACTCCTGGACCCTCGCCCCCACTCTGCCTGCCCCCAAAACTGGTCCTTGGTAGCCACTGGCATCAAGTTGGCCTTAGCAACTGGACTGAGTTCACAGTGGCTCAGTTAGCTAAGTCTTTGCTCCTGGGTGACCGTTGCTTGTTGTCTTGTCTATAGTCCATACTGGGCCACACACCATCCAGTGTACAATGTACCAGCCCAGTCATGCAACCCGAAATCTTGGAGAGATTGGGCTTGCACCAAATCCTAACTAAATCATAATCATTTCATCTTAATCCAAAAGTTGCCCTGAACTTCTTCAATTGCTGCAGTTACGACCTTAGCTCAGGTCCTCACTCACCATGCCTGGGCTGTTTTAATATTTTTCTAACACTCACGCACTTAGTCTTGCCTCCTTCTAACTTGTTATGCACACTATGGTCAAAATAATCTTCTTCAAGCATGGTGCTGTTCGTGACCACAATAGTCACACCTGACAGTCTGCAATTGGTTAAGGGCTTTCATAGTCAACCACACCATTTAGCTTCACTTATTTTTTGGGTCGTTTGTTTTTATAGATGAAGAAATTGAGACCCACCCGGATGTAGACTTGCCCAAGGTCAAATGGTGAATCAACTAGTGCCCAAGATCAAATAGTGAGTAATTGGTAAGGTTATTGGACCTTCTGATTTCACATGCAATAATCTTAATAACCTTTACATGACATTCCGTTGCTCCAAAATGCTGTTACTGAGAATGGGCACCTAAGATCTCCCGTCACCTCATGCTCTGGCTTGCAAGACGAGTCTCCTCATGCCACATATAGCCCATTTATTTCTATCACCTTTATAAGATCTAACCTCCTGCCATTCACCCCCCAATTTTCTGTACAGGAAGCACCTTCTCAAATTTTCTATATAGCTCCTAACATATGAAATGAGTAAGTACATGTGGAGCGATGCACACGGTGCTTTCAGGAAGTATTAGCTCCTTGTTGTTACAATCTCCTACCTCCCACCCTACCCGGGTTCTTTCCCTCTGATCTCTGAAGCTCCAGTCCGTAGTTCATCAGCTCTTTGACATTTTTGGTCCCTTATTTTTTCTGATTGTTTCTTCATCCTTTTATTTTAACTAAACACTTGGCGTTCCTTTAAGGATGCTGCCTCCCTGTCACCTGTGAGAGTAGAAGCTGATTTTTCTCACCTCCCCCAACTCACTCCAAACTGTTTTCCTTTCATCCCTCAAAACTCCCAGGTTCTCTGAAGTGTATCTTAGCACCCTCTCTCTCCTAGTCATGCCCCCTCAGCCACTGATAATGACAGCCTTTGGCTCACAATCTTGCTGTCCCTGCCATAATTATTAAAACCTCAGCATCCACATGGTGACCCACCCAACAGGCTGCTTCTAGGTCCTTGCATCACTCTTTCAGTGACTCACTACCACATTTGCTTTCATCACATCCTTCAGGTCCTCATGTCCATCGGTACCCAATCCAATGGGCTAGCACTCTTGCCCCACTTGTAAAGACTCTTCATTTGCTACCACTAATCTTGTTTGGCAAAATCACAATCCTGCTTGTACCTGATTACCCACTTAGCACCAAGAATACTGCAAAGAGAAACTCACACAACTGTGTTGACTGAATCACTTTAAAATTACAACCACAGATGTCAAATTGGCACTCGACATTGCCAAATGATGCAACTGTACTTCCATAGTAAATCTACTTTCCCACTCACTGAAAGATCTGTTTTATGCCTTGTCCTCCCTCCTGAAGCCTCTAGCACCTCTCTCAAACTGATGTACTATGTACTTCATAAAGAAAATACTCAAAGTCGAAGTAGACCTACCTTTTCCTTCTACCTCCAGTGCACAAAGCCAGCCTCATCTGCACCTACACATTCTGCCTTCCCATCTGCTAGAGTGGAAGAAGCATCTCTGTTCCCACCTAGGACAACTTCTCCAAAATTGTCCTAGATGACAAGGCTTCTTATTTTCTCAAGGATTTCAGCCTTACAACTAACTTCTCTTCTACATCATCCGGTTCTCCTTATATAGTGGATCCTTCTTGCTAGCATATAAATATGCTAAAATCCTATCTCAACAAACACAAAACAAAACAACCTCGCCTTTGGTCTCTCACTCCTTTTCGGCCACCATCCTATCTCTCTCTCCCCATCTCAACAAGATTCCACCTTCCCATCTCCCCATTGTCCTCCCTTTGGCTCACTCCAATGGGCTGGTGTCCTCATCATTGCACCGCAGTGGCTCTTATGAAGGTCATCACAGATTTTTATCTTGACAGAACCAATGAGAATTGCCCTATCCTCATTTTACTGGGCTTCTCAGCAGCATCTGGCTCCTTCCCGAGACACTTCTCAGTTTTTCCTTCCAGCTTTTTGGCTGTTTGACTCCCCCCAAGGATCTGTCCTGTTCCTTCCCCTCTTCTCTTTCTATGATCTTTTACTAAACAAGTGCACACTGTTCCATGGCTTCAAATGTCCTTTTAATGCTGATGACTCTCAGATGTCTGTCTCCAGATGGAGTCTCTTCCCTGAACTCGACTCCTATCCAAATATCTCTTAACCTCTCTATTCAG